CTATAATTAAGAAATCATGTAACAACAGAGACAGCAGTTTCAAGTTTGTATCTCCTCTCTTTGTTCATCTGTTTCTGTAAGGTGACAGGAGCATGCTTTCAGCACATGGAGCAAGCAGGGGGACTGCAGGTATAAATGGAGCAGCATTCAGTGTCTGAAATACACTGCATTACACATGTGGCTGTTCTTGGAAGTCAACCATTTCTGAAAGTTATTCCCAAGAGGCATGATGTACTATAAGCACTTAAGAAATGTGTTACACTGTGACTGGAACCAAGATGAAATAGCAATATTAAAAGAGATGGTTTAGTTTATGTAGTGGCCAACTATGCCATTAAACTAGAACAATGGAGACGATGGGGAGGCAGGAATGTTCTTCAGTGTGATTTATTCCTTTCAAGTAGGAGTGGAAATTTTTCCTATAGGCCTGAAAATGACCCCATCTGCCAAGCAAAAGTCAGCATTAACATATAAGAATTCTACTAGATTAGTCACCTTGGGATACTCTGCTCTCACACAGCACAGGGAACTTGAAGCCCTCTCCAGGATGAGTCTAAACTCAGTCTTCTGAGCTCCACAAAAACCATTAGGCCTTAACATTAATGTTGTCAGTCACTTCAGAAAGAGGGAAACTGAGGCTTGAAGAATTGATTAAAAACAGGCAAAGAAGACTATATGAAAGGATCAACAGAGAAACAAAGCCTTCCTCAATCCTATGCTTTACAGGAAATGTGCATCTTTCTTGAAAGGATTATTGTTTGCTGCAGCTGGGTCAGCCAAGGCAAAAGGAAATGTTATCAGGCAATGGTTATCAGCAAACAGTATAATGCCATTTCCACTTCTGCCAGCCAATTAGACCTGTGCTGCCTGCTGACACATGTGGGAAAGGCTATCTCCTCCAGAATAAACCAGGGTTTGGCACCTAAGTCCTGCTTTTATACAGCTGCATCTGCTACAAAGGATGACTCTGTGCAGCCACCTGCTCTTTGTGCTCCCATATTCTGACATTATGGGAACTGCTATGCTAGACACTGCCCTATGCTCCCCATGAATGTGAAGACAGCTCCAAAATGTCCTGATCAGACCCCTGTTTCACAATAGGACAGCGAGTTCTCAGTCCACCAAGGGGCCCATGGAGAAGGACAATAGGGATGTCTAAAATGTCACCCCTAGGAAGAGGCATATCTGATTACAAAAGATGCCTTCTGCACCCTGATCTTTCAATGATCCCCTAAATGACATTGTGAAGGCCCAGCAGGAAGAACAGAGTGAAGCCCCAAGTCCACCCCTTCCAAATTCTCAGCCCTGCTCTCCCCCTCTCTGCAGCCTGGCACACAATGTGGGACCATGTGCAGCTGCACAGGCTACGCTCCTCAGAGTTATCTCCCTCAAAAACAGCCTCCTACCCACTTCCTTCCTCTGCAGAGTAATGAGGTGCTCTTCAGCCTCATGCTGCCTCTTCCAGCAGTCTGGTTCCAATCTCGGGGATGCCACATGAGACAGCCACCCCAGAGCAATGGCATATGTGGCCAGAGGTCCTCCTGCAACAGCGCAGCAGCCACGCAGGTGCTGAAATCTCCCCCCGCCCTGGGCCTGAACTGCAGAGTCAGCTCACAGGGACAGAGAGAACTAGGACGGTTCAATCAGAGTCAGGATGAAGCACCAGGCAGAAACACGAGGTACCAGCCAGCTGACTTAGAGCAAACTACTCATTTCCCAATGCACACAACCCACCTCTTCCTTTAATCCCTCCTCAGTGGCATGGAGAGTCAAAACTGCTGGAAAAGCTAAACAAAGTTCTCTTTCCCGATGAAATTGTGCTATTGATTACTCATTAGACTCTGACATTCCCCACTCCAAGAAAAATCCTCCTCCAAAGTGTTTTGCCTGAAGGAGAATACCCAAAGCTCAGAGAGTAGCTCAGCTTTTGTTGCCTAAAAATCAAGTTCTCCCTTCCCAATATGTGTTTTAAAAAACCATCAAACACATCACAATTCCATTTCCAGCTTCTACTTCAGGTATTTCCACTTCCACAATGCAAACTGTGTCCAGGGTGGAATAAGGGTTTCTTTGTTTGCATTCTTGCCTTCTAAAACAGAAACCTACACAAAAGGAGACAATTTGTTCCTACACAAAATCTGTTTGTTTTGTACACACTGCTGGGTTGCACTCATTCAACTCCAACACTAATTGTCAAAAGCACAGATACCAAACTTGCTCACGTTCCTCTAGCAGTGGGAAGGAAAAACGGGTGATCAGCTGACTGTGTGCAAGCATTTACCAACCTGCCTGTTCTGTCAGTTCCCTCTGTGAGTAATGGGTGTTTCACAATCCAAAATGCAACTGGCCCAGCTGTATATTCCTCAGCCAGCAGCTACCAGACTATTTTCCAGGCTCGGGAGAAAAGGAAGATAGGGCTGTGTCCACGCTTTCACCCCAAGGCTTGCTCTGATTTTCAGTGAGGCAAGTGCATCTTTCACAGTATCACAGTAAGCATCGTTTGTCAGAGCAGGACCTGACACTGACTAACCTCTGCACATCACACACTAGTAGCTGCTAATCACAAAACTGGAGCTCACAACGTGATAAAGAAGCTCGCTCTTAACCCACACATTTATTTTCCCCCTCAACCCATGCCTTTTTAAGACACTGAAGTGATCTCCTGGGGCGCTGCTCTGCTGTTGGAAGAAGCACAGCCCTGGAGCCTGTGTAGCACCATTGGAGCAGAGGCAGAACTTGTTCAAGTGTTTTTACTCAAAATTAAAGCTGCTGTTTCCCACTTCTGACACATCCCATAGGAATCAGTCACTACCCTGTCAGCTGTCTTTCCCGTAATCTCAACTATAGCCTTTAGTTTTAAAGGATACTTTAGAAATACACACATTCTTTGTCTCAAAGTTGCTACATTTTGCCTAAAACAAGTAAATCCCCAATATTTGGTTACATTGCAAGTGATTTAGAAGAATTAAATTGGGGTCTCTGTGTCAGTGGGTCTGCCAAGCTTGTGTGTAAGAGCATGGTCTCTGCACAGCCAGCTTCAGCTGCTCCCACCACTGACACATCAGTTTTGCTGCCTGTTGTTTGCAAGGATAGTCCAGACAGCAACAGGGGAACAAACCGTAAATACAGGATGCATTATGAAACATTGGGCACTGGTTGCAGGATTTCAGAGGAAATAAGGGGAAACTAAGCAAATTATTTTCAGCTTCTCTTTTTAACATATGTGGATAATAAATGGGGCTTAACCAGGAGCATGGCTTTAAATTCTGCAATGTTAACACTGGGATTGGGTAGGTACATGCTACTGTATAAAACAAACTGCTGCTCTTCCACACATAAAAGAAGGCAGGAGACAGAGTATCACTCGCAGCACTGCCTGAAGCATGCTGGCTATGTCAACACACTATGTCGCTTTGGACTGTTTGGACTGTTAGTAATATGCAACCGATCCAACTACGATGCTATGAAATATTTTATTTAAATGAAATTATTCTTCAGTTTAATTAGCATGTTAAAACTATAAAAGGAAAGCAGATGTGACCATCATGGATGTGTGCGCTGAATATTAATAATGAAAAGCATCCCCTCCCCCTTGGAGGATAAAGCAAAGTTGGTTTGGTCATTTTGCAAAATAAACCCTGAATGTGTTCACCCTGTAGCTGACAATGAACCTCTGCTTTGTGTGCACACACATACAAAGCTGGAGCCAAAATGATTTTACTATGGGTAAACCTTTGAAGATCCAGCCCCAGTCCAGCTGGCTGACAATGCTACAGCCTGAGTACTCCCCCGAAGCTCTGCCATCCACATTCCTACCCATACACACTTCTAAGGAAAAATGAAATGAACATCCCAAAACTGACAGGCTACCCTTACACTAGCCAAGACTCAGGTGAAGGCTGGCAAGATGAAATCCTGTGGCTCATTATTCTCACACTGATAGTGCCACGGGTCCGTGCGCTGCAATAGCACCACATGTCATCCCAGCCACACTCCACTATTTCTACCCACCAGCAGATGTTTTTTTTTTCTTTTAAAGAGACACCAGTTTCAAAAATTTCACCTGGTGTATCACCTCCACCAGAAAATCAAATCAATAAACAGGACTACCTCATGACATTTGGTCGTAAAAAGAAATGCTGTCTTTCCTTTCCCTTCAATATCCCAGCTGATAACTATTTACACTTAACAACTGGATTCATAGTGTATTTTATACAGCTCTTCTCTGTAACCTACTCTTCCCCTTGGTCTCACTTGTATTCATGCTGCCAGTCATCATTCTAATGCATTCATATTAATTGATTTCCATCTTTATCTTTATTCTGTCTGCATATTAACCCTACAGTGCCTCAAAACACACTGGTTTACTGGAACCAGCCTAAGGCGTCATTGTTTCAAGACAGCAAGAAGTGTGCGTTTCTACTCATCTTCCAAGAAAAAAAAAAGAAAAAAAAAAGAAAAAAAAAGACACATTCCCAGTTACTGAACTTAGCCTTAAAGCTTTTCCTAGTGCTTCCACACACCTGCCCACCACCCTCCACCTCCGACTTAAGCTACGATTTTTATTGACATATACTAATTACCTGAAAATAAGAATTATCTATTCCATTTCCACCAGCTGCCAGTTGTCAGCACTGGCTAGAAGTGAGTAGGCTTACTTAAAAGAACGAAACAAAACAAAATAAAAAAATCTAAGCTTAAAAATAAAATAAATACTAGTCATCATAAAAACAAAACCCTAAAGAATGCCACCGGATCTCAGGTACTGTCGGGTGTGCTCAGAAAGGACTGAAGGCAGACAGATTTGAATGAACTGCTCCGTTTGTCACGGTAAAAAAATACAGAGATGTAAAGGTTTACCCACGCGGCACAAAAAAGAACCACCAAAAAAAACCCAACCCTGAATTAAAGAACAAAAATAAAATAAAGTCAGAAATGCAGCCTCAGTGCATCGACTGTCTGCGCTTAAGAGATTTACAGGAGTAATTTAAATGATTCACCTGCTGCCAGTTTTCCTCCAAGGATGGCAAAGCTGAGAAGTAGCCGGTGTCGTGGACAAGCTGGAGTTCCTGGAATATACTATAACTAGCCAAGACATCCATGCTGCTGCTGGGCAAGACCCTTTCTTTCTGCTTTTGTGTGTGTTTGTTTGCTCGGGTGGGGGGTTGTTTTTGGTCATAAAAAAAAAAAGGAGGAGGAAAATCAACCAATGATAGATCCAGCGTCCCTTTGGCTTTGTTTTGTTTCAGTCACACTTTAAAAAAAGAGAGAGAGAGAAAGAGGATCAGCGCGGAGGGACCGCGAGGTTCGGGGGCCGGGCCGAGGAGGACGAGCGGCGCCGGCGCGCACCGAGCACCCCGCGGCCGCCGCACCGGGGCACGTCCCCGCCGCGCTCCGCGCAGCCCCGCGCCGCGGCCATGCGCGTTCGCGACCGCCTTCCCCGCCGCCCCCTCCCCTCTTTATTTTCGGGACAGCACATCCCACGGCCCGCCCCCCCTCACGCCGCTTCCCTCCCCGCTCCCCTCTCACCCTCCCTCAGCCAGCCCGGCCCGGCCCCCCCGCGCGCGCAGCCGCGCGGCCGCGCTGAGGCAGCGCGTGGCCATGTACGGTAAACGGCGGGGCGGGAGGGGCGGGCCCGCCGCGCGCCTCGGCACGCTGTGGCCCAATGGCGGAGCCGCGAGGGGCGCGGGGGGCGGGGCCGCAGCGCCGGCAGCGCCGGCGATTGGTCGGGAGCGCTGCTCCCGCCCCTTCCCCGGGGCTCGCGAGGCGGCGCGCGGCGAGCTATTTTTAGGGCGCTATATAAGAGGGCGGCGAGGCGCGCGGCGGTGGCAGAGCGCGGCGCGCTGAGGGGCGGCGCGGGGCGGCTGTGCTCGGGCCGTGAGCGCCGGGCGAGCCTTTCTCGCACTGTGTGCGCCCCTCTACCTCTCCCCAGCCTCTAGTGCTCGAGTTCCCGGGGCTGAGGATGGCCGGGGAAAGATGCGGCTTATGAGGGTGTTGGAAGGAGTAGGAGTGGGAATGCACCCCGAGCAGGAGCCGCTGGCATCAGGAGCATATGCAGGGTGCCTGTGTGGGCCGAGCACGGGAGCCTGGCTTCTGAGTGCTAGTTCAGTCAGGCCGTCCCTGAAATGCACGTGCGCTTACTAAGGCATCTATCATGGCGTTTAATCAGGCTGAGATGTGAGCTGAGCTAGTCTGGGTTGGCTAATGAGCTGTTTGACCTTAAATGGCTAGTGTGGTGCAGAGCTTCCCCAAAATTGCTCTGGCACTGGGCACAGTTGCATTTCTGCTTTTGGAAGGATTGCAGAACTGAGTGTGCTCATCTGAAGATGATGGGATGGGGAGGGGCTTCCAGTAATAGAAGAAATATGTTGTCTTTGTTGCTTTAAAACTCAGAGGGCCCTATGGTCCCATCAGTTGCATTGCCAGGGTTGTATTTGGCCACCAGGCTGCAGGATGAAGGTCCCTCTGGTGCCCTTTGATGGTAGGTTGTCGGTACTGTAAACTGGATTGGGTACCAGGGCAAGCAGATGGCTGCCAGGGTTTGCTAAACTATCTCCTTGTAGAGCAGTTGCATCACATTTCCCTTGCCGTGACTAAGATATCTCCTCACTTTTCCCTTTGCACCTGGATGAGCATACCAGGGCCAGGCCTCAACTGGTATCAATTGGTGCAATGCCACTAGTACACACACATCTCTTTCCAGATGTCCCAGTCAGACTGATGTGAAAGTATGAGACCCAGGATTAGTTCATGGTATGTTTTGGTTCTTGGCAATGAAGACAATCTGCCTTTTCCAAAACTGGGTCCATATTAACAATTTTGAAAACTGTATTTGAAGAAGGCTTGTCAGAATAAACCTCTCCAGAAAGCCCAGATAATGGCTGCACCAAACCCAGGTTCTTGTAGGTGCTGTGAAGAAGAATGAGGCAGAGTAAGCACCTCTCTAGTCTGAGGAGTCAAAATGTAGAGGGAAAAGGGGAAATGAAACTGTTGGTGAAGAACTGCAGTAATCAGGAAAGAATTTGACATAGGCAATTTTCTCAAATAAATGGTCTCACCACTACAAAAACACTCTGTGGTTGCATTGAAGAAACAGTAGGATGACTTGCAGGAGGTGTTGCTCGGGCGCTGACCTGAGGCTGCGCATCTGGATGGTCCAGGGTCAGTTCCCTTGAAGTTGAATGTCTCCTGTGAGCTGCTTGTGAAAACTATGCCATCCCCAGCCTTCACCCAGGGAGCCATAGGTTGTCTCAAACGGGACCGTTCCTGGCATCTTTAGCTTAGCAGAGAAGCTGTGTGTGAGGCTGGATATGAATAATAAACTACTCCTTCTCATAAATATACCCATAAATGTGTAAATGTATGTGTTAGAAGGGAAGATGAGAGGGAAGGTTAGCACAGCAAGCACTGCTGGAGAGGTCTTGCAGACCATCGTTACCCATTCCAAGCATGCCTCAGTCTGGCAAAGCAGCACCTTCCCTGGGCACCTTGGGAAGGGAAAACTTTTAAAGACTAGAGGAGAGAACTTGACAAAGGTGGTCAGCTGTGAAAAGAAGCAGCACTTGAGTATGATAACACACTCCTGTACTGAGAGGGTTACACAAGAAATACCTGTTTCAGAAAAAGCTGTCTGTAAGCATTTATCCTTAACAGCTTGTCAGAACAAGGCTGAATGCATATGCAGAGGCTTTTCTGACCTAGGCAAAGAAATAAAGGACACAAGCAGTGAAGGTTTATTCTCTCAGTACTTAAAATATCTAAATGTCTTAAGCTTTCTGTCTTTGAATTCAGTAATTCCCATAGCTGAAAAACATTTTGGTGCTTTATTTCTGACCTTGTTTAGCATAACTACAATTTTAATACGTAGAAATATTAGTGGTCTGATGTCCAAGCTCCCCTCTAGCTTGGCCTGTGCAAGTTGTGGGTTGCTCATGCTTTGATTTACTGCAAAGCTTGATGTACAGGCAGCCCAGGAGTCACCTCTGCTTGCCACTGAGAAGCTCTCATTGGAATCAATTAAAATCTTTCTAGTTGTCTGTTTTATCGTGAACTTTCTGCTGAAAGCATGCTCTGTACGAACTGCCAGGTTTCCACCGTCATGGAGGAGGTTGTTCTCAGTTACGGAGCTCAGCTGCTCTACACCAGCAAAGAGCCCAGACTGTGCCCAGGCTGCACTGTAACTGGTGGCCAGATCTGAAGAGCAGATGCTGCTCTGCTTCTCTGGCTGGCTTCGGGAGGAATTGTGTCTGAGGGCAGGATTTTGGCTGTGAGCCTTGAGGTGAAGAGCTGGGCTACAGATCTGGCCGCTTGCCTGGGTGGTTTCCAGGCAGACATTGCATTTTTATTGTCTCAGATACTGTGCTTTGGAGGTCAGTCGAGAAAGCAGAATGGGGTTGTCACTTGGCAGAAGCAGAAAAGCCAAGACAAAAAAAGAATGTGGTGGTATGCTGGGTATAAAACTGTTAGTCCAGCACCGGAGGTGGCATCTACCTGTGCTAGCCCAGAGGTAACAGAGGGTGATTCCTGCCAAGCTCTTGTTTCTCAGGCTGTACTGACCTTTCTCCTGGCAGATCGCCACTTTCCCTGCTCTGGCCCACCACGCCACCCATCACAGAGAGCAACGCAATCAGATGTGGAGGAGGAGCCGTATCTCCCCACTGCTACACAGCTGGGCTCAAGGGCATAGAGGACTACACAAAAATTCAGGCAAAGGGAGCAGGCTGGACCTGCAGGGAGTAAGGATAGGCATTTCAACCAGAGCACAGATTTGTCCTATAACAGGTAAAGAAAATAACTTGCATGATGAGAAGACTTCATCATTCCTGTGACTTGCTGAAATGTCAGGAAGATGCATGGAAGTGGTATGGCTGTTTGTGCTATAGCACCAGTGCTCTTTGACACCTGGAAAGGGGAAGTAGTTATATTTTTTACATCAAGGGGCAATGAGAGCAGTTAGTCCTAGTGAGAAGAAAGAAAATATTTCCTTGTTCCTTCTGCTCTTCAAGAGAAAGAGGAACGGTATCTTCACTGTTTTCTCTGAGAAGCTTGAATTTATCACAGTCTGCCGTAGGTCCTCTGGCAACAATGTTTTCAATCCTCTCCAAGTAAGAAGTGCAAAATCACTCCCAGCACTTTGCTGGGTTCCTGCAAGGCACTGGTGTGCACAGAAGCACAATTTTGGTTGCTCTGATTGCTTTCCCTTGTGATATTTGTGTTCCCACTGCCCAGGAAGCAATGGCAAGGAATGCTTAGTGGGGACCCTCCAGAAAAGGCTGATTTGCAGGTGACTTTCAGATGCTGATTTTGTGTTTGCTTTGGTTTGGGCAGAGACAAGATGTCATAAAGCAATCAGGGAGTATATCAATTCATATTGTAAACATTTTACTGAATACATCTCCTTTGGTACCAACAATGTTTCAACAGCTACACTGAATAACTCTTTACACAGCTCATTATGCAATTGTAAACCCTGTGGCCTTCTGTATAGTCAACAGAAGTGGTAAAGCACTTTCTCCTGCAGGGACAGATTGGTCCAGGTGTCCAGGCTACCAGTTTCTTCTACCATGATATTTGCATTTAGTCTGCCAACTGTATCTCTTCCTCTTTTCCATCTCAGACTGAGCTAATACAGCTTTGCTGTGCTGAGAGCCTGTGACAGTGTAGTTCAGAGGTGTTGATTCTTCAGGCTGTGTCCCTTCTGGAGAGGAAGAGGTTGTGCCTACAGGTTGGTAGGGTTGAGGTTGCCATTGGTTGTAAAGCCTTGAAAATATCAGAGAGGGGGAGAAGTACTGGTAAATGCACCAGAGCATGCTTGGATTTGCAGTTCAGCCTCTGCAGTAATGGATGTAGAAAGCTGCTACTGAGGAAGCAGAGGGTTTGTGGTGGTGGTTTATGGCCAGGTGGATGTCAGAGGCACAGCAGAAGAGCTCAAAGGTGACCCTGCTGTTCAGCGTTGCCACTTCCCAATACTCCAATGTGTCTGTGCATCTGTATCCATGTCCATATCTGATGAGAAAATCCAAACAAGCACAAAGCAGCAAACAGGGAGAGAGCTTCCCTTCCTACAGTGAAGCACTTCTCTGTAGGCCCCAGAAACCCTCGGTTCCTCCTCCAGCTGGATACCTCACTCCTTCCAAACCTCTCATCTCCTTCAGACCTCGTGTTTCTGGAGAAAGGTCAATGCTGTTGGCCCAATGCCTGCACAGCAACATTTCAGTGATGTGGAGGGCTGCTCAGAATTTCATTGTTCCTTCTGGCAGATGCAGCCCAAGACACAGGGAACAGAGGTTGTTTCTCTTCCTGTCTCCATGCTGGGGAGCAGCATGGCTGTAGCTTGCAGCCATCAGTGGCACTTGACTCTGCCTGGATGGGACAC